CTCCTCTCTCTCTGTTTCTCTCTTCTTCTCAGTTCAAAGGCACTTTATTGGCATGACTGTCCAAAATTAACAATACAGCTGGAGGGGTTTACATTACAGTCTCTCTCTCTCTCGTCTCTCTTTCGACATTTCCGTCCATCTGTCTGTCTCCCGGTTCCCTCTCCCTGTTATGTGTCACCCCTTCACTGTCTCAAGCCCCTTTCCTCACCTCTCCCCCATCTTACTCCCCCCTCCTTCTACTTTGTCCACAATGGCAGAAGTAGCTTTCTCTGCCTGAAGGGCCCAGGGCAAGAGAAGCACTACTAGACACACACACACACACACACACACACACACACACACACACACACACACGGTATCGAAACACCATGCATGTGTGCGCTCAGTCAAGCGAGTCACAGACCAGCAACACCTAGTACTCAAAGAACACAGCTGAAAGGAATGTGCATACAAAATTCAGCAGCATATGTTCGGTGCCCGAACGCTAGAAAAACAAACACTCTCGTCACTTCACCGCACAAAAAAAAAAGAAAACGCACCTGCGCCCGCTCTCCGTCGTACTTGTACTCGCAGGTGAACGCCGCCTCGTCGAACCTCTTCATCACCTCGCCGACGCCTTTGGTGGGGTGAGCCAACATGGGTCTCAGCGGCACACCTGGGAGGAGGAAGGTGGCGTGAGAAGTCGGGGAAAGTAAACAGCGGGACACCGAAGCAACCAATACAAATAGATACGCGGTCATGCATTTTACATGAGTTCTCAAAACGTCGAGGAACTAATTGCGAGTTTGGGCAGGAAAAAGTTTTCTTCGTTTGTGGGGAGGGGGAGGAGGGCTTTCGCTAACAAACCTCCAGGTTATGAGAGCGACGCAGATCTCAGATCCATTTTGGAAAAAAAGCTGTGAAATTTACTTCTTTCGCACATGACGCATCAGCATCACACCCACAGTTGAAATGAGTTTGTTTGCATTTTCCTTTGGCCATAATATAAAAGTTGTCTGACTCATAGCCCCGCGGGCTGCGCTGCTAAGTTAAGCTTTGAAAGCAGCAGAGGAGAGACATCATGAAATACTGCAAACAAATTCCTTTAATTGGAGCTTACGGAGGCCGATATGACAGGACAGTAACATTTTGTCGAAGCTGGCTGGCATCCAAAGAAATTCATCCGGCTCCTTTAACTATCTCGCATTTCAGAGAGCGACAGCGAGAGCGACAGCGAGAGCGAGCGACAGCGAGAGCAGCCCTGTGAATAACGATTGTTTACCTGCCAGAAGAGCTGCTGGATCTGTCTCACTGACCAACAACGGACAATTTAGTAACTCTCAGACGGAGGCCGGTATTCATTTTCCACCTTGTTGTCGAGGCTGCTTATCACAAATCGCTTGACAACAGCGTAATTGGGAGCTAATCCGTAGTTTACTGGTATCTTTAAAGCTCCCTGTGATGAACAACTCAACTAAAACAACTGACTCACCTCCACTGAACGGATCAATAAACACACAACAGTCACTCGTTCTGCCTCCCGATTGGTTGCATACCTGGAGTGAGCTTGCAGTGATTGGGCAGCTCGTCGATGCCTTCTTTCAGCAGAACGGGGAGGAGGACGTCGTAATTGGGCATCTCGCTGGACGGGACAGAGGGTGGGGGGGGGGGGGAAACAAACAAGAAGATTAAAAAAAAAAATCAATATCATCCAAAGTGAAAGTGAGCAGAGTGAGTGAGGGAGAATGAGGGACGGGGCTTAAAGGGGATGAGGTATTGTAGTGGCATCGAGGACAGACAGTTACCAGTAAGTCTGCTTGAGAATCAGAGTCTTCTCTTCGATCCAGGCCCGCCTGCTCTCGGCGCTCTTACCCTTCCCTGCGTCGAGCACAGCAGGGGGGAAACCTATAAGGAAGAGGGGGGAAATGCATTTCAAACAGATCAGTGTTTGAACATTTGCTAGATGAAAGTTCAAATGCCAGGAAATATACTGATAGAATTACCGCAGGATGAACTGAACCTAAAGACGTAGTTTCAGTCCCACCGTGGTGAAAAGGGTTCAGTTCATATCGAAGAGGCCAAATGAATCATTCCGTTTCCTGACATGAATAATTACCAAATATTTAAAAATGTGACTGAATACTAATTCATCAACATTTATTATTCATGTTAAGATTCACTTCAGCCCGACAAAAAAATTGTGCTCTTAGTTTGACCTGCGCGATTAAATAATAGTTAAAGAAAGAAAGAAAAAACATTTCCAGACCAGACCACTGATCAATGCAAATCTCCCCACCGAGCCGCTGGTCTAATTGACTCCTATTAAAGCATACCTCCAGTCACGAGGAAGCCAAGAATACTAATGAGTCAGAGATGAATTCATTTCATTTGGTGATGGTGGAAGCAGGTCGGATCATTACGGAATCCAGCATATTGGTAGGAAGACACCCTCCAACTACATACCATAACTACATATATAATTTCATCCGTGACTGTTCTCAGGAATGAATATTCATTTGAACGATTATGAAGAATATTTCAACACTGTGTTAACAAGTGTTCCATAAATAAAAGTTGCGATTACTTGCTTTAACGCCTCACCTTTCCTTTCCGTCAGTGTGATCTCCCCGTTGGGTTGCGAGTTAATTTCCACCATTCACGTCATACCACAGAAGTATCTCAATAAACAGCCACGAACACAAGTCTGCAAACTTAAACGTGAAGAAGTAATCCGAGTGAAACGCCAGCTTTCGTCCAGCTCCAAACTAATCTGATGTCTCAGCACTTTGAGTTGAACAAATGTAGTGGATATTAAGGTTCGGGCAGATGGACGAGTATTTCAGAGTACATCCCCTGTTTGGGGTTTTAATGTCATTTGATTTTGCCAATTTAAACGGTCTGCCTCAGAAGAATACTGCGCTGATATATCTGGAAAAACTGGTTCGATGTACACGTACACATGTTCCCCTGACTTTTGTTTTAAGACAAATGGAAGACTACCTTGTCCAGGGGGGGTCAGGCACACAGCCTGGCTCAGAGCCGATAAGACGCTCTGCTCAGCCAGGCCTATCCTCAGCTTCCCAGCCAGGGACCTGTCAATCAAAACCACACCACCAACAGCCGTCAGTGATGACGCCCGTTTGCACCTGCTGCCCATGACCAACATGAACACACAAAGAGCTAAGGCAGCGACGTAACATCCGTGCATATATACATGCAGGTGTGTGTGTGCGTGTGCAGCCGAGCCTCTCTATGCATGCGTGTGAGAGTGTTATTTTACCTGACTATGTAGCGGGCCTCGGAGAAGCGGCATGCCACAAAGAGGCCTTTGATGATGTCGATTTTCTTATTCATGGCCTGAGGCAGACGGGAGGAAATTGAGATTCACAGAGGAAGAGCGAGGACAGACAGAATGCAAAAAAGACTGAGGTCACAAGCGAGTACAAACTCCATGTTCAATCCAGAGTGTTAAAAAAAAGAAAAGAAAAGAGAACCAGCACCAACGGGGATGAAAAGGGAACTAATTGCTTGTGAGATTCCAGCCAGGTGACGACTTACTCAAAGGCGGAGCGATTACGCTCTTTCCTCTATAGCAGACTAATAAACAAATACACAATCACATTAACGTTTCCTCTCTCTTCCCTCGATGACCCAATACTGGCAGCCAAATAGAGCGAAAACAATATTTGCCCGGGACTACTTTCCCCTTAATGAAAATGTTATTCCCCGGCTCACCGAGTTCCCACTCATGCTGGCGATTTCCTTCAATTTCCTGAACACGCCCCCCGCTGTCAGACTGGCCGGCTGGAACATCATGCGCTGGTTGCTGCGGGAGCTCTCGGCCACGAGGCCCAAATCTCCTCTCTCCTGCGCCTCCGCCTTGATTTTGTCCAATTGTCGCCCTGGAAACAAGAGCGAGACGGTAAATGGCGGGCTGATGAGCAGAGGAGGGTGTCGTTAGCTGTTAGGCCGACGATGCTCAAAGCATTTAGGTGCAAATGAAATGGTTGTGTCTGTGTCCCCCCCCACACATTACCAGTTGCTTGAGCAACAGCTTTCATCAGCACCGTCTCTCCCACGCCGAGCTCCATCCCCAGGTAGGCGGGACCCAGCTGGTTCAAACATAGGTACACACAGCACAACAAGTCGTCTGGAAGAACACACACACACATATTACTACACAGTATATGT